TAATAAAAACAGTAGAAAAGGAGAGTACAAAATCAGTAATTGGAAAGATTATAACAAAAGGTTCTAAATATTATTAACAAAACACTGACATAAAGAAAAGCAAATAAAAATAACAAAAATAATTTTATCTAAATATAAAGGCTATAAGTTAAACTAAAACTAAATAAGTTTAGGTTATAAAAAATGGATTAATAAAGTTAAATTACAAAAAGAGATTTCAGAATATGTTAAAAAATATAAATAACAAATCCTAGAATTAGATCAAGAAATAATAAACTATTTACAACAAAACAAAAGAAAAAAGAATATGACAAAATAAAAATGAAGTTAGTAAAGTTATATGTTATGATTTGAACATTGAAATTATTAAAAAACAACATATTAGTCAGCTAATGAAAGATAAACTTATGAAACTCAACCAAAAAAACAAAGAAAGACCTAAAAAAATATTGATCTTTTATATGAATAGTTTACTAAGAAGAGCATTAGAAAAAAGTCTCAACAGTAGACCAAATAGGATCAGACTGGGTGCAACTAAGTGAAAAAGAAAAGAAAGTACTAAGTAAGAGCTGTTTTGATATATGAAATTGGTCATTATCAACAAAACCAGAACTTTTAGCTATTTGGTTTGTTGTACTTACAGTACCAGAACAGAGAAAAGTAAAGATTTGTACAGATAGTGTGGCAGTAATCACAGGCCTGAAAAATGAAAAAAAACCAATCTATTAGATAATGACTAAAAAAGAAAAATTACAATATATTAGAGAATATTAAAAACATTATAGAGTTAAAAATTTTAGAAATAGATTTAGTTAAAGTTAAAGGCTATAGCAATAATAAATAGAATAATAGAGCAGATAGTTGAGCAAAAAAAAGGGCCAAAATAGATAATTTAGATAGAATAGTAAAAAAAATTTCATAAGAAACTAGTATCTCAATTTATTAAAAAGAAGAAATTATAGAAGATCTAATGAGAAAATTTATTAAAAAAATTTTAGATTTACAAACAAGAGCTAAATGAAGTTTTTCATTAATAATTAAAAAGATAGACCAAATAATAAGAAAAAAGCATATAATTAAATATACTTATAGAAAAAGATTAAAGACTAAAGTGAAAGCAGATGTATAAGCCAAAAAAAGAATACACAAATAGAAACTCTAGTGCAAACACTAAATAAGGTCCTGTGGCTATACAAATCTGTTGAAATTGAAAAACAAAAAGTTCATTTGGAAAGATCTAAGTAGAGAGATAGCTGAATCTTCAATAGTACTACTGTAAAGACTAGATTACTGAAAATGAATACCAAGATTTTAGTAACTAGGCAGACAAGTACCTTTAGGTTGCAAGTCTCAAAAATACCACCAACTAAGCCACCAGAATAAATCAGAAGAAAAGAATAATAGACTAATCTAATATACTAATAGATTGGTTATAGTTCTATACAAGTTATATGAATTGAGAGTCTGGTAAAATTTATAGATATATTAAAGTATTAGAGATATGTTATAAAGTAGATGCTAGGGTCTAGTGAACTCTATAAAACCATAGCAGTTTAATAATTAAACCCTGCCAACAAGTGTTAGTTCTGCTATAGCATCATTTAGGTTAGCTATAAAAATGGATATAGAAGGCTCTGGGGGTTTATTTCAAGGATAAAATAGTCCTAAGGTTGAAACAATAATCTGGGTATGACCTAGTATGTTAATACAGATTATAGGTTTAGAGAATTTAAAATAAAACATCTAAGCAAAAGTGTTAGATATAGCAATTGATGAAGAATCTTTAGGCAGACTCCTTAAATTGGTATTATAGAAAAGTTATATTTGTAACCAATTATATGCTCTCTTGTAGTAGTTTATAGGATCATATTATTAATAAAGTCATTAATAAAAGTTAAAAGACCAAAGAAGTTATTTTAATACCAAAATATATATATATATTTATGAAACTAAATATGAAAACCATACTGTACAAAACTAGCCAATTGGAAACACCAACACAATATACTTACTTAATCAGCACATACTCAAACAAATACACATAATAACTCAAACAATATTGAATATATACACTATCCTAGATTACTATATACTTATAACTGTATTTGTGACTTGACAGACCAACAACATATAGAAGAGAACACAATATTTGCTCACCTATAGGAATGGTAAAAAAGAAAACATCTATTTGAATATCTGAATAGATTAAATATAATATCCAAACTAGCAATATAATTAACTATCAAATTAGCAATACTTTAACTAACAAAATTTAGATGAGATTTAACCAGTTTAGTAGGTTTAGGTTATAGATAAATTAGATAATCTTTGTATATCTATAGTCTGAATCTCATTCTTGTAAACAATTTGTAAACTCACCTTTGGTCAAAGAAATTACTTATGGATTATTAATACAAATTATAATAAAGATAAAGGCAAAACCTCACCTTATAAAAAAAATATCTATTTGAAACATCATTTAGAATTGAGATTCAAAACACTTAAACCTAACTCTGAAGCATTGCCTGGGGCTAAGAACTAAAAAATTATAATTTAAATGATACTACTTTATTTTTAAATTAATTAACTAAAATCTAAGATTTAAAACATTTAAAACCTAGCCCCAAAGCATTGCCCGGACCTGAGAGCTAGAAAATTATAATTTAAATTATACTACTTTATTTTTTAAACTAAATAACTAAAATCTGAGATCTAAAACACTTAGGACCTAACCCCGGAGCATCATCTAAGTCTGAGAGATAAAAAAATACAATTTAAGATTTAAAACACTTAAGACCTAGTCCCGGAGCATCGCCCGGGTCTGAGAGCTAGTATTTTAGTCTATATATTCATGGTAAATTCTGTCACATGATTAGTTTTCAATGTCAATAATTGGCTGGATAATATAAAGGTAATATCTTACTGTTACTATAGATGGATTATTTTGATTTTTAAGGACTAAGTTCGAGGCTTAGTCTTGGACCAAATCTGGATCTAGGACTTTCTGCATGGGAACCTGTATTAAAGTCTGCGTATCTGATCCTAAACCTCTTAGGCCTAAGACGACTAAAACCAGACCTGAACTAATTTTACAACCCCTATCTGTGACATCTAATTTTGATAGTTACATGTAAATATCTCTTTTTAACTTAAAACGTTTATTTAATTTTGGTGAGTTTTGGAATATAATCTGCGTTTAAAAAATGAATATATTTGTAACAAATATATGTGCATTGCCGGTCAATAAAATGTTTGTATTGTGAAGATTAGAGTGTTTGTAAAAAAAAAAAAAAAAAGGAAATTTCAATAGCTTCCTTAATAAAAAAAAGTATAAATTATTTTAAAAAAAACAAACAGGTTCCTATCCATTATCTTGTTTATCCATTTATCTATTGGATATCAGATCTAAATTTATACGGATATCCGCTTTACTATTGATATCCGGATAAATTCAGATATGGATAAATGGATGACGGATTTATCCAGATTGGAACTCAAACAACAAGGGATCGCTAACAATACATGTTTTCGAAAATTCTCAGCGCATGTCGATATAAACAGTGGAATACATTACATACATTAATATATGAATATATTTCTATTTCACTGTTATTAAACAGGTTTATCTATTGAAACTATTATGCCATGTCATTTGTAGACAATGAGTGGAAAAATAGCAATTCGCCTTACAATGACTCAGTTTATGTATGCGTACACATATATATGTCAGAAAGTGAAAGCTACGACAGCTTCGTATGTTAAAGATCAGATTATCATGCGCCAATCATAGATTACGAATTCTGAGGTTGGTAGGTAATTAACCAATGAAGGAATTGAGAAACAGGGTAGAGTTGCATAGTAGTCATTAGGAAGGAGGGGAAGTACCCCAATAGCACCGACAGATTTTTTTTAAAAACCCGCTGTAACTCAATATTTCATCTATATAACCATCTTCTGCGCATTAGTAAAAAAAATTCCTTGCAAACTTTTAGTATAATACAAGCTTTGTTATAATTATAAACCTACCTAATGTAATTATTATGACTTTAAATAAATTGGCGCCGTCAATCAAAACGTCCTAAAGTGCAATTTACACGAAAATATAAAAAATTCCGACATATCTAATTGTAACATGGGATGTTAATTTTGCATACGTACGTACATACGTATACTTGAGCAAGTTCTACATCTAATTGTAACATGGGGTGTTAATGATGCATACGTACGTTCATACGATACTTGTTACAAATAACATGCTACAATTAGACGTTGAATCTGAATTTAAATTCTGTGTACCATTTTTTTAAAAAAATCATTAATCACACTTTGGGACGGTGCTACTAGAGGACGATCTAATGATATATCAAAACACATCACATTCTTGCCATTGGGATTAGACCAGCTACTATAGTAAAAAAATAAAACTATGTATAAAAAAAATGGAAGAAAAATGATAAAGCCGTCTAAACATACCTTGAGTTTTAGTAAAAAAATGCTGGAAAGCAATTTATAATTTCATCCCAATCTAATCTAAGAAAAACTTATTACTTAATACTGTGTTCATTACCCAAGTCTCATTCAAGAATTTCATATTTGGCGATTTTATTTGCGGAAAAGAAGCTGCATTATCAGTACTAAACTGTACAATATTTGTTCTTAATCAACAATATCACATAACTTGAATTATCTAATAGTATGTATATATTGGGCCTTATATTTATTTTTTTAGCAATGACAACACTAGTATATAGGTTTAGGATCATATGAAGTACGTACGTGCGTATGTAGTTGTATAATTGCGCTAATCTTAAACTATTATATCTTTTTGTTGAAATGCCAATAAATAAAAGTAGTAATCGATAAATGTGAATTATATCAAGTGTTTACAGTAGTAATTCTAAGAATACAAAATGCATAATAACAAATAAAAAAAGCTTACCAAATGACTGGATATAAATTAAGGAGTTAAGAACTTCAGTTGAAAAATTCGAGTTAAAAGAATGACAGAGAATGAAAATACAACTTACTTAACGGCTAACGAAACCAAGTATTCAAAAACTAGGCGTGGTCATAAAGAAACTAAAGAAGCTTATATTAAGAGGATTTGTAATGAGAAAATAATAGATTTCATCTGTTGGAATAAGATTAATAAAAGAGAATTCCTTGAAATTGGAGGTTCTGGGGTTATTATAAAAGCGGGATTGATAGAAAATAATTTAACTGTTGTTTTGAAGACAGTAGCAATTAGTGAAGAAACAAATTCAGACAATGATGAGTTCATTAAAGAGGTAAGGCCGACGCGTCAACCAATTTAATTATATGCTACTATGATTTTTTTCTCATTAAATGTAATTGAGCAGATTAAGGCTTTTCATAATATTGGATTAATACTTTCAAGTATAACGAATGGAGAAAATAAAGGAAAAAAAAATCTCATAGGATATGAAAATGTAATTAAATTTTATGGTGTATCAAGGTATCAATATCATGTAAATTTTAGCTTACATTAGTGTATTGCAAGATGAATGTCATTTTTGCTGAAATTTGTAAGTTTCTCAAATTGCGACATCTAGCGACGAAAATGGTAAATTTTATATGTGAACTTCAACTCATATACAATTCATGTACGTACTATATATTTATTGCTCTTGATTATTATTCTATAAGCAAATCTTTACCTGATACTTGAGTGCGCAGATCTTGGTAATTTGCGATCTTATTTAAGTAAAAATACCATAAATTGGGAGCAAAAAGTCAATATTGCAAGGCAGATTACCTGTGGCCTATATTTTTTGCATACGAATGGAATGTTACATCGTGACTTAGTAAGATACCATTCTGCAACAGTCAATTAACTTGTTTAAAGCATAATTAATAAATTTATTTTATCTTAGCATACTAAAAATGTAGTTATTCAAAAGAATGCTGATAGCGTTAAAGCCATTATTACAGATTTTGGAGTTTCAAAAGTTCTTCCTCGTAATAGTAAATCAAAGCAAGAGTTAGCTGGATGCGTACCATTTGTAGACCCTAAGTTATTAAAGGATCCTAATGAGGCACCTGATAAAAGTTCTGATATATATAGTCTTGGCGTCGTTATGTGGGAAATCACAAGCAATGGCCGGCCTCCGTTTGATAAATTGAATCACGTTTCAATTTCACTCGACATAATTGATGGAACGCGGGAAAACAAAATAAATGGGACCACTAACTCCTATATTGAGCTTTATACAAATTGCTGGAATGGGAATCCTAAGTCACGACCAAAAATTGAACGAGTAAAGGAATTAATACATCAAGAAGAGATAATATCAGGTGAAAAGTGTATTTCTGATACAGATATTGGTCAAATACAATACAGTAAGAAAAGTGAGAATTATATTTCATTAAATTGATTTTTTTTCAATAAAAATTACTATTTTTAGCATTTACTTATAGTTAAATATAAAAAATATATTAATTAGAATCTAATAAAATCATTGACGGGCAACTTTCTAAGAAACTGTCTGAAATACTCGATCAGCTTTCTATTGAAGACCTTGAGTTATTGGCTGCTGAAGATCCTAGTTCGTATTCTGTGAAATCCTGATTAGTATTCTGAGAAATATTGATCAAATCGAATGATTTAACGGATGTTCTTTTATATAGACGATATAGGTCGTTTAGTTCAAACTCAAGCTGCTACCGCTCAAAAAAAAAAAGTTGCCAATTCAGAAGAAAATGAACAGTAAATTTTATTATAGTCTGATATAATTTTTGGTTATATTTTAAATATATGATTTGAGTTTATTGAATTCCTCTCCTTTTGTACGACCTAGCTTACGTTCTTAGTTTCTGTAATAACAATTTATAATTTCATAACTCAATAAAAGATTATATGTGGTACTTCATATTAAAAGGGCCATTTTGATAAATTTTCATTTTTTTTTAAATAGGCATTTATGTTAATAAAAAGGGTTTTATAAGTAACAGATACTAATTATTCAATAAAAAGGTTCACAAAGTGAACTTAAAGTAAAAAATTTATATTTTTTTATTTGATGATCATTTAAATTCAATTTACTCAAAATTGTCTACCGTAAATAAGCACCACACCCTCCACCCCATTTTTTTAAATGTCAGATTAACGGACATCGCAATGAGATCTTTAGCCAAGTTATTTCCGCTAATCTGGCATTTAAAATATTGGGGTAGAGGGTGTGGTGCTTATTTACGGTAGAATACGGTATGTCAAAACGAACTTTTTTAATATGAAATACCCAATATATTATCATGTTGACTTAATAAAACAAAATTAATTTTAAAATATCAATGTCGCCTAAGGATGGCTTCAAATTCAAAAAAAGGAAATTACATTTTTTGACTTTCGGAGCCTTCTGTGAGGACGGATTTAGATAGGATTAGAACGGATTAATAAACGAACAGTAAAGTAACTACGATGGCAAAGTATAAACTACTTACCCGACCTTAATAAGAGTGCAAGTATTGTCTTGTAAGACCCCAGTGACCATGGTTAAATAGAACTGATCTAGTGTTGTTAGGCGAAACTATTTATGGTAAATGCCGAAAGTCGAAACTAAACTCGGCGAAAGTCGAAACTGGCGAAACTCCGGCGAAACGTCGAAACTCTGGCAAAACTCCCACTAAATCTAAAATCCTTGGAGAAAGTTAAACACAGTGAAGATCAAATACTCTAAGATTTTGAAAAATTGAGCCATGTTGGTGAATCAAAATATTTTGCATGTAGCTATTAAGCACAACATGTGACTTATATAAGAATGTATAAAAGCAATAAACAAAATGATGGCCTTTTATTTGTATTTGAGTACTATTAAAAGAAAACTAAACTTTAGACTTTTGAACTTATAATAAATAAATCAATTCAGTGCTTGAAAATTCAAAGTTTGAAAGCCTGTTTTCTTTAGTAGCACTTATTTATGTATTAATATTATTTATATAAAATAAAATTATCAAATATTTAAATAAATTTACTATTATATAGTTAAGATAGTATCTTTAGCATTTTATTATTAAAATTTTTGTTATACATATATAAGTAATTTGTTAACATTATTATTAGTAATTATTTTCTGATGTTTTGTTTTATCTAGTTTTAGACCTTAGAGTTAATTTTAAGAAAATAATTATTTTAAAAACATATAATAAATCAAATATAAATTATTAATCAAATGCATCATATATAATAATATGATTAAACAAAAAAAAACTCGTTCTGTTAATCACTTACACAAAATTTAATCTAAATTTAGCTTATATAAAACTACTAAGATTTAAAATTTTATTATATGAATAAACTTTGGTGCCTTAATAAAAGTTATTCATTTTAAAATTTTATATATATCTTTAAAATCTTACATTATTATTTCTTAAACTCATTACAAAAAACAAAAAAATGTTTTTTAACTATAATAAACTAAATTCTTAACTATTTCTAAAAAAACTATCTTTACAACTAATTTTACATTTCTAATAAAAATTATTTAATATACTTTTCTAATCAAAATAAGATCTAAACAAAACTTATAACCTTAATATTGACCAAATTATATTTTAAAATAATTTTTACTCTTTTTATTTTACTATAAACTTTTTATTTCTTTTTTATTTTTTTCTATTTTGTTACAAAATTCTCACTAAGACATTATTTGTATAATAACATATCATTTTCTAAACTGAATAAATCAAATTTACACAATATAAAGCACAAAACATCTAAGCTTTGCAATTAATTTAGTACAAACAAATTATTTACTAATTAGTAAATAATTGTATTACACTAATTACAAATTATTGTACATTTTTATCTTATATTATTTTAAACTATTTTTAATTTCAAAATATCTAAAAATTTCAAATTTTAAATATTTTTAATATAAACTTTATTATTTATTAGCTAAATTTATTGTAACTAATCTTATTTTATATTATACTTTTTTTTTTAAACTTTGGTAACAATACTAGTTAGTTTATTAGCTTTAATCTGATATATTACAAATTTATGATTATATTTTTAGGATTGATTATTACTAGTACTATATACTATCTAATTTTACACTACTAACTTCACCTGATTACCTTTATGACACCTAAGTGCATGTCCACTGCATGTCTATATACAGTTATCTTAACAACCACTTGCAATTAAGGAATACTATTAAACTGCTATACAGACAAGGATATCTACTAAACTTAATATAGTATCCCAAATGCTAAGAGTATAGTTGACCCTTGTTAATATCAATCTAAGCCACAAATCAAATTTTTATAATTTTTTATATATCAAAATTCCCTTATATATATCAACTTTAATATAATTTCTTGTTAATATCACTATCAATATAATTTAAAACTAATCCAAATGGGTTGATATAAATGAGGGTAGACTGTACTATCTTCTGTAAATTATACTTATATGTTCTACTCAAATGTTTTACCTGGTCTTGTTTATTCTGTCTTTTAATCTAACTATATTTAATATTATCTTATTCTTCATATTTTTACCTTTTTGTTACTGTATCACTCTCAAATTGGTTCTATTTGAATATATTTGATTCTTATAATCTTTTTATTTTTGGTATTCCTATTATTAATTTCCCTAAGGTGTTCCAATAATGGTCTAGGATCTGTAATAAACCTATATCTTAAGTCAGATCTGTTGTCACCATTGGTCTTTTGACCAATTTGTATCTCAAGCCAGGTCTGCTGTTATTGTTTCTGCAGATGCCCCAGGTCTTAACATTATACAGTAACTTAATGCTATATTTAATTCCCAACATGATGCTCTCTTCTATAGTAGGACTGAGACTTGTTACACTTACAAACAAGACAATTCTGATTATATCTAGAAAGTTCTTTTGATCCTAGTGATACCATACTATTATATATTGCAAGCTCCTAACTTATTTAATAATATCTGCAGAACAATTCTGGTTATGTTTCAAGAAATTACACTGACTCCAGTAATGTCATACTGCCTTGCAGATCTTAATTCATATTGGTTGGTTGATTTCAGTTATGTTTATTATAGACTTTTATATAGATATAACCAGGAACCTGATTTAGTACTTTTAAATTATACAAGAAAGTTATATGCCAGCCTTTAAGATTTTCCCTTTTATAATTAGATTATTTGGCTGTGTCAAGGTGCTTTCAATTTTTAGTTAGACCAATCCTTTATTATAGTCTGTTCTTGTATTCACTACTTCTTTTACTATTCCAATTTTGGTTACTTTCAGAATACTTTTCTAATTAAATCCTCTCCTTAAATTCTAATTAAGATTTATTTGCACAATCTATTAATTATCTTTTTAAACAAGTATCCTACAAGTTGAATGCAGAGATGTTAGTATTGCCTATATTAGAAGATATAAGAATGTTGGTACTGCACTAGCCTAAAGAACTTATATGTGTAATCTTTTTATAATTATAACCTTCTGTAACAACTGTTTGTTATACATATTGTTTGTACTTCATAATTGGGTCTCTTTCTGGGAATTCCTATTTTCATTATTGTACTGCACTTGGACTTAATCACAGGGCTTCGCATTTAATTACAGGCTTCTTATTAGATTACAGAAGCTAAAATCTTTCAATTTTGTCTCCAGCCAGATTTGAACTGATAACTTTGACTGTTAATGGTATAGAAGCTTAATTTATATCTATACTTATTTATTATACTTTATATTTATTTATATACTTATAAATTTATTACCAATCAATACATATTATTCTAAATATTCTTTTTCTATTATAATACCTAATAATTACATGTTATATTATATCTTTTTTATTATATTCTTTTTATCATTTTACTTATATATTATCTAATTCTAATCTAATATCAATATATTTTCTCTTTATCTTTACAAATTGTCAAACTAATATGCTAATATATTTATATTTTACTAGTATATTATACTTGGCATTTTAAGTAAACTTGTTTCTGATATCAAACTACTGTATATATATTTCTAAAGTATTAAACAAATAGTTTTAAAACTTACTAAAAAAATCAACAAACCAAGTCTCAGACTATAAATAATTCTAAAATCTACTTTATACAAAATCAATAATATATATTGTGAGTCAATAATAAAGAGTTTATGCTCCCAGATCACCAATCACAAATTTGCTGGTTCAAATCCAATAGGGAACAAAAACTGAGTTAGGACCATGATTGTTGATTAACTACATCTAATGGCATATTACAAAAATAAAAAGATCTTCAGTACCTAGATTCTTAAATAGTGATGGACCTGACATAAAAAGGCTGCGATGATTAGAGGGCTGAGAATAATAATAGAACAAAGAAATCTCTGATTATAAATAATTCTAATAAAATTCTAAGATAATAGGAACACAAAATCAATATATAGATAGTACTATTAATGTACATAAATAAAAATATAAAATATAGACAGAGTTCTAATAGAAGGTCTCATGAACTTGAAAAATTTGAACTAACAAAATAGCTGTTAGCTGTGGCCCACTAGTGACCATGTAGTGAAAAATTTTAAAAAAAAAATCTATAATATTTTTATATTTTACTAAGAAAACTTCTTTTGAAATCTTAATTGAATTTATTTTTTATAAAAATTATATATTTCCTGAAATATTAAATTTAATTCATTTATCTTTATAAAGAAAAATTAACAAACACCTAAAAAATACTATGTTTCAATAAAGATTTTCTTAATATTCAATTACACAAATCAAAACTAATACTACTAAAAAAACTACTTAATTGGTTTCAAACTTATTCTATTAATACTTAAAATCAAAACTAAGTACAATTTTCTATATAATTCAAT